TGGGCACGGCTGAGCTGTGTCCAGCTACCTCTCAGAACTGCTACCATTTGTGATTCTCCAGCAGCCTCCTGGTGCTGTGGCCTCTGGAACTGTCTGGTCTGGTGTCTGATGCTGGCCAGCCAGCCTTTCGGTGGTGTTCCTGGCTGCTGTAGTGCCACCCCAGTGGCCTGCACCTCTGGCTGCCACCTTGAGTTGAAATTTGGCCCCATGTCCAGGCCCTCTTGGAAGGGACGGCACCATCTTGCATGAGTGAACTTTGTTTTGGACGACTAGATACTGTGGGCACTATCTGGGCTGAGCAGCCGGTCATTTGTGACCTTAGAAACTCCTTTCACAATCCCACAAGTGAGAACTCACAAAGTGACCTGCCTGCCAGCCTTGGCACTGTCTTTGGCACTGTTTTAATCACAGTCCTTTGAACACTGTTTTACATTTTCTCTCTCCACACTGACAAAGATCATTTTCAATTTATCCCAGTGATTTGAAGTCAACAGATTCTTTATACAAAATCATACTAAGTGATAATTCTAAATAACTGTATTTCTTAAACACATTCTATGCCATGGACTCTCACTTTATCTTCTCACATAATCCTTTCAGCAAGCATATTATGCTGAGAACTATTTCTATCTTATTTATATATTTGACTACTTGTATACTTTATTCTATGTTCTTGTTAGAATAGAAAATGGAGGTTCAGCAATTTTAACTAATTTGCTTAAAATCATACTTGCAGTCACAATTGGAATGAAAATAAAGAACTCTGGGGCCTCCCCTGGTGGCGCAGCGGTTAAGCACTGGGTTGCGAAGCTGCCCGCAGCTGCTGCAGCTCAGGTTTGTTCCCTGGCCACCAGCGAGGGTCCCACAAAAAAAAAAGGAACTTTGATCTCAAAATCTCCATTTTTCTAATGGTTATTATGATTCCAAAATTTAAATAAATACTGACAAAATTTTCGAAACTAGAACAATTAAGAAAATCTAAGTTTAAAATAATGTATAGCTGGGGCTGTTTCTAGAGTATATAAGTATTCAAAATAGAAAATTAAATTTTTGATTATGCTATGCAGTGGTAGATTTAATGTTAGGTCTTCTAGAGAAAACTTACTAAGTATATTTGTCAGACATTAGCTTTTATAAGAAACTGCTTTGTAAAACATTATTAAATGAAAGGACTATTTAGATTAAAGTAAAGCTAAAGATGATTTATTAGTTCCCTTATTTTGACATTTGAGTGTAAGACCCAAAGAGATTGCAGCCTGGCTGAAGCAGACAAATATATAATGGAAAAGCAAAGACTATAATCTTGTTCCTTCCTCCAAATCAGTTATTTTTGCAAATGAAAGTTAAAATTATATTTAATACTCTAATAATTTATATATTTAGAACCCAGCACCTCAAAATATTTTGCACCTGACTCAACTATACTGTGTTCCACTACAATGTTAAAGGTATTTAACTCTTCAAAATATGGTTCTTCCTTCCCTTGCTATTGCTTTTTAAAAATCCATCATCACTTTTCAGTCATACAGTCTATTCCTATATCAGCCTTGTGAACAACTAACCTTTTCTTCAAACACATATTTTATATGACATGATTCATTGTCTGTGATGTCTTCTCACATATTATTTATCTCATTTTCCTTTATGCTCTTAAGTGTGACCCTAGATTTTTGTTTATCTTTTTAGTTACACTCAAATACTTCCTGTTCTTTGTAAGTCTCTTAAAATATAATCAATGACTACTCTTTTTATATGTCCTATTACCACTAAAATTGTACTTTGGACATTAAAAATTGCAATTTATTAGTTTATTTCAAATAGATTTGCTCTATATTATAGCACCTGATATATCAGTCTGATAAAGTATATATTGTATAAATCAGTTGAAGAAAATCAAATCATGATTGAGAAACTAAAGATATCATGCTTAGAATTACATAGAATTATTTTGCTTTATGACTTGGTGTCTTTAATCTTTTAATGTTTCAGCTTTGTTTGTTTTTAATTTGAGGAATTTTTGTTATGCTCCGGAGGCATAGGAATTATGAAGTAATACACTTGTAAAATATAAAGTACATTTAGAGAACAAATGTTATTTTATCAAGTCATGAGATAGCAGGATGTAAGTTTTTGGATAAAATTCATTTACTGTGTTATCTGACTGTATGTACTTAAAGGAAATCTTTGACATGTTGATCAGATTAAATTGATTTTATCTTTCCTGAAACTTAAGTTCAGCATTAGTCATGGATGATTACTGTCAAAAAAGGATATGTTCTTGCTATTCATTTACATAATATGAGCTTTCTTTTGGATTGCATATGAATTAATTAAATTCCCTTTAATTGTAGCAGCTACATGCAACACACAGCTTCTAACTAGTGTAAAATAGTTTGTTAACTTCTCAAAAATGGCCAATATTCTAATACTCTAAACTGGAGTACAGGCTTTAAGAGAAAAAAAAAATTAAGAGGGAGTGTCTGAAAAAGATACATATCAAGCTAGATATATCAGAAATGACCTAATTTATTGTAGATCATTTCTTCTTCTCCAAAAGGGAAATTGTACTGATTCAATTAGTGACCTCGGTTTGTGACTAAAATATAAAATGGTTAGATGGCAAGCTTGAACCATTTTTTAATAATGAAAAAATATATGTTTTGATAAATCTTAGGCTCCTTCTAGCAGGGATAGTAGGATAGTAAAGAAAGTATAAGGTTTACAATTATAAAAAATACAAATTTGTGAGTCAAATTCCTGTGTTAAGGGTCATTCCAATTGGACCCTTAAATCAACAAAGAGCATGTATATTGGCATAAGGAAAGGAAATAAAACTTTCCAAACTGGTTAGTTATCATTTTATAATATAGTTTCTGTATTTTTGTATCTTTTATTTTAGATTTATTTTCTTTTGCATACAAGAACAGGGGTACAGGCCAGTTGCGCGGGAGGGTGAGAGGATTCACCAGAGACAGAGTGGAGAGCAGAACATGCAGATCTACTGAAATTCACAGCTGAGGGGAGCAGCGGTGGGGGGACACAGTAGAGGTCTGCTGCACCATGTGGGTAGCTCCCTGGCCGGGAATCAAACTTGTGCTGCAGTGGATGTGGACAGCTTCACACGTTGCATCTTAACCCCTTGCACCACCAGGGAGGCCCAGTTTTGTATCTTAATTATAAGCAAAGAATTCTGTAAGTCAAAGATTCTTTTGTGTGATCTTAGAATGACAATACCAGCATCACCTGGAAACTTTGAAATATAAAATTTTGAGCTATACTTTAGATCTACTGAATCAGAAATTAAGTAGATTGGAGGCAGAATATGTTTTGACAACTTCTTAGGCTATTCAGATACATGCCAAACTTCAAGAACTGATGCATTAATTTTCCAAACTTTACTAAAATATATCAATAAGTTATCATATATTTATAATAGCACTACATATTGTTAGATAAATTGTATTGTCTTTCTAATGAATTAGAAAGTCTTTTGGGGTTTTCTTTGTTTTAATTTTATGGACTGCTTTCTCAACTCAATTGGAGTGTAGTATCAAAAAATACAAATATTTAGATTAGTTTCACTTTAAAATTCTTATAAAAATAAATGCTATTTTTTAATTACAAGATGAGAGTGTTGGTGTTTTTGTTGATTTTAGTAGTGCTAAATTCTACTTGGAAGCATGCATGTATATGAAAGGTACTATATGAATATCATATAGTATTGGATTGATATCCAATTGGATAATTTACATCATCTTTCACTTGTATATGCTTGTCCTTGTGAAAATTACTTTCTAAGCTATAGTAATAGCATCAGTAATAATAATGCTCTGTATTCTTAATTATTATGCCATTATGTAGAGAAATGGTTTTAAATGAAAAATCTGAAAATATTCACTAAGACATTTACTGTAAATGTATAACCTCTGAAAACTTTCCTTTTTTATTGAAATGTAACATAAAGGTCTTACTCATAGTAAATATATATACATACACATGCATGTATATACACATATAGCTTTTTATATATGTTGCTATTATGTATCCATAGCTCCATCTCTCTCTTATTGTGTACACTCAGTTTGATGACACTTTTTTTTACTTTCCACACACATAAAGTTCTGGAAAGACAAAAGTCCATCTGCTCTCAAAAGCATAGGGGTCAGAATATATGATAATCAAACCATCCTACTGTAAATCTTATACTTGTACAGTGATATGTATATTAATTGCTTATCAATAAAATTGGTAAAAAAAAAAAAGCATAGGTATTGAAGTTGCTTAGGTTTCAGTGCAAGACTATTGGGTCCAGTATGTTTTTTGGATGCTATTGGAGTTTGTTACATTGAATAAGTACCAAAAAGTTGAATTATTCATGATTTGTTCATTTAGTCCTGGAATACGACAGTAATTGTCTAGTGGCAAAGATTAAAACAAGAAAGGATCGTTGTGAGAACCTATCAAAAAGTTTTCAAGATACTATCTTTCATTCCTATCTCCTATTACTACTTTATATACATGTTTCCTTTTTCCTATCCAGAATTCTGTTAGTATAAACTATTGCATTTATTAAACATCAACTATGTGCCAGAGATACATTTAATGTTTTGTACGACTCTAGGAGATGGTCTATACCATTATCCTTATATTATGGATAGAATAGTTTGACATAAAAAACATGATTTATCTAAGAGCATATAGCTGACAAGTGGTAGAGCTGAGCCCTGAGCTTGTCAGTTTAAATTCAGAGAACTTGTCCTTAAGGACCACATTATTCAATGGGGAGGGATAAGAGAGTTCAAGCTGAAGAGGATAAAGGAGGAAAAATGTTGAGGTTTTTGAAAACATTCATCTGCAGTTTTGATATAATCACTTCTCTACTGAGAACAAAGCTTATGCTATATATCTGTTTGTCTTTTTATTTTTATATGAAATTTGTCATGCATGTATGTGTTATTGGCACATATGCATTCAACTGATTTTATGTTATTTATTTTTAGGGTTCCTGATACAGGATGGCCCTTTGGGATCTTGTGAAAATAAATACTGTGGTTTGGGAAGGCATTGTGTTATCAGCAGAGAGACCGGTCAGGCAGAATGTGTATGCATGGACCATTGCAAACCACACTACAAACCTGTGTGTGGCTCTGATGGAGAATTCTATGAAAACCACTGTGAAGTGCACAGAGCTGCTTGCCTGAAAAAACAAAAGATTACCATTGTCCACAATGAAGACTGCTTCTTTAAAGGTAAGCACAGGGTGAACCTCAAGTATCACCCTCCCTGTTTTTTTTCCCAACAAGTGCATTTCAGTCTAACTCTAGCATGATTTTATGTCAGCAAAGTGCCCAAAAAGGGAATAGTAAAAAGGTGGACTTCATTACGCCAATAAGCAGCAAGGGTATATAAATTTACATTGATAGATTCCTGGTATTCATTTATGGGAATAAAGTTGGCCAATACATGACTCAAAATTTAATATAGCTCACAGTATTGCACCATATGGCTTCTCAATCTAGCATTATCTTAGGGACACAGGGTGTCCAATTCAGTCAATAGGCGAAATCCATTCAGAGACTATCACCTGGAGTGGAACTAAGGGAATAGTTGAATGCCAAGCCATGCTGTGATAAAATCTCATTTCTTCTTGAATAAGAACAATGCTTTTAATTTGCACTGCATCATTCAAATTATGAATGAGTGCCCACAGAAATGACTATAAAGGACTCATGCTAAACTCAGTGAGTAATCTGAGATGACAACAATTTAAAAATGAAAAATATCAGTATTCACTTTTATAGTGCTTGAAATCGCTATTGTGGAAATGTATTGCTCTATTAGTAAATTGACAAATTATTTTAAAGTGCTACATAAAAAACTTTAATACATTTTTTATAAATATATTTGCTGTTTTTCTGTTTATAATGGTGGGGATATTTTCTTATTAATAAATATAAGCCAAGCTGAAATTCTAAAGTGTTAAATATGTAGAACTTCCATCATTCAAAGAGGGCAGTGATGAACCTGATTTTCTGATCTTTGATGGGTTCCATGTTCCTCTTGTTTAGAATGGTTCTGAAATATATATACTCTTGAAAACATGTTTGATATTTTAATTCTTAGCTTAAGGCTATGGTCACAATATAATGCTACTAAATTTTATTTATTCACTTGAAAGATAAAATAACTTAAATTTTTCAAGCTTAGTAGAATAAAATATTTCCTGTGTAATAAAATTGATACACACAACTTTTCAAATGACGTAAGATGCAATGTTCTGTAGTCATTGTGGCTACTAGAAGTCCTTTGATAAAATTGGATTAAAATTACAAAATTATTCCCTTACCATAGTGAACTATATGTACCTGAAAACATGTACAGATAATTTCATATTAGACTCTTCTTTACACAAGGAATACCAGTGTTTTGTTTCAAGTTCAGTTTATTCCCCACTTCTATCGAATCTACTCTACAGGTAATGAATCTATTAATGTTGCATTTAAAGCTTATTAAAGAGTATGTATTTCTGTCATTTTGATCTGAACTGGCACATTGGGATTTTTGCTATTACAGACATGTATGATATCATGAAACTATCATAAAACTATGTACTAGTAATCAAACACACACAAACATATATATATATTATATATAATAAACACACACAAACATGTATGTTTAACATATATATATATTTGTGTGTCAGTCATTTACACATATGTATCACTTAGGGTGTATATTTTCACGCCTCCATATGTGCACACACTATACTCACCTTCCATCAAAATCTCATGACAATGCCTTATTCCTTTCTTCCCCTATTCCTTTTCTTTCTCTTCCCTGTTCTCTCTGGTAAGCAGTACATTTATTTCAGAGTCTAAGAATTACTTTTGTTATTCTTTCTTGGTTATTTTGGTTATATTCTACAAATAAGTGAAACCATCCTGTAAATTTCAATTTATGACTTATTTCACTTAGCATAATCATCTCAAGATCCATCCAATTTGTTCGAAAAGGCACTAATTCATCTTTTTTAAATAAATGAGTAGTATTCCCTTGAGTATAGATTCCATGAATTCTTTACCCAGTCACCTTTGGGTATTTAGGTTGGTTCCCTGACTTGTCTATTGTGGATGATGATGTTATGAATATAGGAATGCAAAAATATTTCCATATTACCGTTTACATCTTATTTGGGTTACTACCTAGCAGTGATGTTGCAGAATCACCTGGTATTTCCCTTTTTATTTTTTTTACAATATCTCCAGACTATTTTCCATTGACACTGTAGCAAATTACATCCCTACCACCAGTGGATGAGGTTTCCTTTTCACCCACATTTTTACCAACTTAAAATCATATTGCCAAACTGAGGTATTGTCAAGTCGATATCCATCAATATGAAAACATGTATATTGGATGTCATGTAGGAAAAAATGTCTGGCATATTTACTGTTCTACTTTATTGCTGGATGCTTAGGCATAATGTAACTTAACATATAAATCAGCATGGACATAGATGAATTGGTTAAAGCCAAGAATGTTGTCTTCCTTATGAGTACTCCATAAAACAATGGTTTGAAAACTTTTGTTTTTCATACTTACACTAAGTGTATTTATTAGAACTAAAATTGTTTCCAAATACTTTCTTATTATTACAATATTAAGATTCCACTTAAATTATCTGGTTAGTTACCAAATGTTAGACCACATCCTTGATTTCAGAATTATGAGTGCTATCTTTGCTTGTTTGTTTTGGTATTTTACCTAACAAATGTATGACACATATAATTTCAGCAGAAAGTGAATAGTATAGAACAAAACAGTCATGTATCTCCTGTCTTATTGGATGGCAATTAGCAAACTTTTGGACATAAAAGAAGATGCTATTTAACTGAATACCTAATATTGCTCTTATGGTTAAAATTAAGTTTTTGTGGTTGTGAATTGCAATTTTGCCTTGAAGTTATTTCCTACTCCCACATCCTTCCCCCAAAGTGCTCTCGAACTGCTGTAACTCATGTCATTATTTCTAACAAGGTATAGATTCTTCTCACCCTGACACCAGGTCAGTGTGTCATATACAACAGAAGTTACTTACTCAGAGTGCAGATGTAAACGGAAGTAAGAAACTCAAGATATAACCTATGTCAAAATGAATAGGGAATTAAACCTTTTATGAGAAAGTCAATTGAACAGATCCTTTTGTCATTTACTGTGCTAAGAATAAAACTGCCATAAAGGCAAATGTTCTGTGCACTTAAATGTGCTTCACAAACAATAACAACTTGGGAAATATGTTTTTTTATGGCTGTATGTGCGCAATTTGAGTGAGATCTAACATGGTTTTCTATTTGGGGGATATCATCTGGAGAGATATTCATATTCCATTCTTTTAATTGGTTCTTTTTTATCTGGCTTTTTAAAAATGAGATTTGTAAAAATTAAGCTGCCAGTGGTATTTTAAAATATATTAGTAAATGCCATGTGCTAATGTGCATGTGATTTAGATTGTTTTTTTTTTTTTTTCTTGAAAGGGCACACTTGAAAGTTATTATTTTGTTTGAAAAGTCTTTTATTCCATTTCATGAAAAACAACCTTCATAAATATACTAACTTTGGAAATACACAAATGTTTATTTTCTTTGGCGAGGGCTATTTGTTTTTTAGTCCGTACTAGCCAAATGTAACTGCAGATTGGTGGTAAAATTATTAACTTGTAAACTGTAAAAGCTCATTAACTCTTCAGGGGTCATAGTATAGATACTCAAAAGTTGCAGTTTGTTCACCTGAATATATTCAGAATATGCCATCAAAACCAATTCGATTAATTCCCTAAATTTCCATAGATCTGTATTAAAATATTCTGAATCTGGTGATTTGAAATCAACGGAGTTGTCTAAAATTAAAAAAATATATATTTCATAGTTAACCAAAGTTAAGGTGATAGTTTTCTTTCCATTTTTGTCTCTAATCAGTGTGATGTATGGAAACCTATGCATTATATTCACATTTATGTGTATAATTTTATAATATATATTATTGTCTATGCATTAGTAATCAATGCCATGTATACATTCATGCATTCATTATTATTAAAATCATACAAAATATTAGATTCTCCCTAGTTTTTGAAAATTCTGTAAAGAAGTCCAAAGAAGTCTATAAAGATTACATAGTATATGTGTTTTCTTTTGTAGATAGAGAGTAGATGTGATGAATTATACATGTACTATGAAAATGGCATAAAGTGGGAGTTTTAAATATTAAGGCTACTAAATATATGCATTAAAAATATTACCAGAATAGGTGAATTCTCTCTCCCTCCCGCACGCTTCTGACTGTACCCAGTGCTTGTATAAATAAATAAATAAATCTTAAAAATATATATATATATATTTAAAAAATATATATTACCAGGATAGGTGTACGAGAGAGTGAGAATATCAGTATTATTTACTTCAAAAAACTTCCACAAATATTATATATAATTAATGTATCATATTAACAAAGCAATGTACTATAGAGAAGGAAACAAGTCTAAGATGTTAAAAATGACCTGCAACATTCACACAGTGACTACTAGCACAGACACCAAACAAAGGTTTTGGCTACTTTTTAAGCACAGGTGTGTTCCAAATAGATTTGCTAAAGTTTATAGTACCATAATATTTATTTGCTGACAATTGAAAAAAATATTTTCCATTGTAATTTCCATGTATGTAAACTGACATCTTTTTAAAAACAATCTTGGTCACTATAATATTTATAAAGACTGAATAATTTACTTAACACAATTCTTGGTCAGTAGACGAACACAGGAACAGCTGATTACTGGGTATATGAGTAGAAATTAAATAAGTGAACATTTGATTCCAATTAATTTTTAATTTGATTTGGTAATAACAAGTGTATTTTCTTTTACATGTACATTCAGTTATAATCTTGTATCCAAAAACTCTAGTCAAATTATTACTGACACTGTATTTGCCAGTTTATGATATGGTAAGTTTTCAGGTTGTAGATATACTACTTTAAAAAAGTAACTACCAGAAATTTAGAAATAGATCCATTTTTTTTTTCTTTTTTTATTGAGGCACCATGGCTATACAACATTGTATATATTTCAGAGGTTCAGATTCATTCCTCTCTATTGACTGACATTTGAAAATCTATCTGATGTATTTGAGATTAATTTCACTTGCCTTATACTATATGACAATATCTGTTAAATCTATGCAATATTATT